GTAGTTGTCTCTGTCTCCTCCTAACCTTTCCTCCTAGACCTGACCCTGCATGGGCTCCGGCTTGACTAGGCTTGTCCCAAATGGCACCCTATTCCCTGTAGTGCACTACTTTTGACCCGGGCCCTGGGTGCCATGTGGGACGGAGCCTGGGTCTCCTCAATGCAGGGTTATCTCTCCAACACAGTCTCCTGTGTCCTGTCAACATGTCACTGTGGAGGGCTGGCTGTACGCTGACCCCCTCACTTTCTCCCCTTCGACCCCTCACCCACTAGTCTCACTAGCAGGATCATCACTCCTTTGTTTATGGAACCTCTAGTCCGTTTGCCTTGCTGATACACAGACCCACATGGTCTGTTATTTTAACCAGGCAACTAGTGTGTACCCCATGGAGGTGTTTTGGAAGGCTGGACACATCATGACATTGTCCTGATTTTTTAAAATATTTTTTTCCTTTTATTTAAATAGGGAGTCACACTGAAATTAAAAGAGAGCCCAGTATACATTACAACAAAGAATGAATAATAAAACAACATACGCATATTTGTGTATAAAACAATATAATTCAGCACACAATAACAAAATAAACATATTTAATCAAATAAATCACATTCAACTACATAGAGGTCCTCAATCAATAATTTAAACTGCCTGAGTGAACTCTGCAGATTGTTCCACAAATTAGGTGCAAAAAAACAAAACACAGATTTTCCCAAATCTGTGGAGACTGAAGGGATCTCTAGTGTTATCCAGTCCTGAGAACGGGTTTGGCAACTTATGATTCTTAACTTAATTCATGAAGTTACATATGAAGGGAGTTTCTGTAAGATTGCTTTGTAAATAAATAAAAGAGAATGCAGCTCTCTTCTTACAGACAGAGAGGTCCATCCCACATTTTTATACAGACTACAATGATGAGTCCTAAAATTGTCCCCTGTGATAAAACGTATTGTGGAATGGGAGACTGCGTCCAAGGGTTTCAAAACAGAGGTTGCCGCATGCATGTAAACAATATCACCAAAATCCAATACAAGGAGAAGCGTTGTTTGAACAATCTTTCTCCTATTTTCAATACTGAGGCATGATTTATTTCAATATAAAAAACCAATCTTGGATCTTAGCTTCTTAGTCAGATTTTCTATATGCGTTACGAAGGATAACTTGTTATCAATCCAGACACCCAGGTACTTACAGTGGGGAAAAAAAGTATTTAGTCAGCCACCAATTGTGCAAGTCCTCCCACTTAAAAAGATGAGAGAGGCCTGTAATTTTCATCATAGGTATGACAGACAAATTGAGATTTTTTTTTCTCCAGAAAATCACATTGTAGGATTTTTAATGAATTTATTTGCAAATTATGGTGGAAAATAAGTATTTGGTCACCTACAAACAAGCAAGATTTCTGGCTCTCACAGACCTGTAACTTCTTCTTTAAGAGGCTCCTCTGTCCTCCACTCGTTACCTGTATTAATGGCACCTGTTTGAACTTGTTATCAGTATAAAAGACACCTGTCCACAACCTCAAACAGTCACACTCCAAACTCCACTATGGCCAAGACCAAAGAGCTGTCAAAGGACACCAGAAACAAAATTGTAGACCTGCACCAGGCTGGGAAGACTGAATCTGCAATAGGTAAGCAGCTTGGTTTGAAGAAATCAACTGTGGGAGCAATTATTAGGAAATGGAAGACATACAAGACCACTGATAATCTCCCTCGATCTGGGGCTCCACGCAAGATCTCACCCCGTCGGGTCAAAATGATCACAAGAACGGTGAGCAAAAATCCCAGAACCACACGGGGGGACCTAATGAATGACCTGCAGAGAGCTGGGACCAAAGTAACAAAGCCTACCATCAGTAACACACTACGCCGCCAGGGACTCAAATCCTGCAGTGCGAGACGTGTCCCCCTGCTTAAGCCAGTACATGTCCAGGCCCGTCTGAAGTTTGCTAGAGTGCATTTGGATGATCCAGAAGAGGATTGGGAGAATGTCATATGGTCAGATGAAACCAAAATAGAACTTTTTGGTAAAAACTCAACTCGTCGTGTTTGGAGGACAAAGAATGCTGAGTTGCATCCACAGAACACCATACCTACTGTGAAGCATGGGGGTGGAAACATCATGCTTTGGGGCTGTTTTTCTGCAAAGGGACCAGGACGACTGATCCGTGTATAGGAAAGAATGAATGGGGCCATGTATCGTGAGATTTTTGAGTGAAAACATCCTTCCATCAGCAAGGGCATTGAAGATGAAACGTGGCTGGGTCTTTCAGCATGACAATGATCCCAAACACACCGCCCGGGCAACGAAGGAGTGGCTTCGTAAGAAGCATTTCAAGGTCCTGGAGTGGCCTTGCCCGTCTCCAGATCTCAACCCCATAGAAAATCTTTGGAGGGAGTTGAAAGTCCGTGTTGCCCAGCGACAGCCCCAAAACATCACTGCTCTAGAGGAGATCTACATGGAGGAATGGGCCAAAATACCAGCAACAGTGTGTGAAAACCTTGTGAAGACTTACAGAAAACGTTTGACCTGTGTCATTGCCAACAAAGGGTATATAACAAAGTATTGAGAAACTTTTGTTACTGACCAAATACTTATTTTCCACCATAATTTGCAAATAAATTCATTAAAAATCCTACAATGTGATTTTCTGGAAAAAAAATTCTCATTTTGTCTGTCATAGTTGACGTGTACCTATGATGAAAATTACAGGCCTCTCTCATCTTTTTATGTGGGAGAACTTGCACAATTGGTGGCTGACTAAATACCTTTTTCTCCCACTGTATATTGAGAAACAAGCTCAATTTGGGCTCCATTTGTAGTCCAAATATGCAGGTCCTCATGGTTTACATTTCGTGACCCAGAGAACAGCATGAGCTTGGTTTTACTTGTATTAAACACTAATTTAAGATCTGTAAGGGATTTCTGAATTGAATCAAAGTCATGCTGAATTTCACGAATGGCCTGCTGCACTGAGGTGGCACAGGAATACACAACTGTGTCATCTGCGTAGAGATGAATGTAACAAGTATTAACAGTGTTTCCTATGTCATTAATATACAAGGTGAACAATAATGAACCCAAAATAGAAACCTGAGGAACACCTTTTTGAATGTCAAGAAATTCAGATTTAACACCATCTGTCAAGATGTGTGTATATCCCAGGCCTAGTTTTGATAACTTCTTCAGCAAAACGGAATGATCAACAGTGTCGAACGCCTTTGACAGGTCAATAAACAAGGCAGCACAACTCTTTTTAGCATCCAAGGCATTGACAAGATCATTAACAACTAGCGTGGTTGCTGTGGTAGTACTATGCCCAGGCTTAAACCCTGATTTGGTTTATATTCAAAATACAATTATCAGATAAAAAGGAACAAAGTTGTACATTAACCAAGGATTCAAAAATCTTAGCTAAACGGGGTAGTCTTGAAATGGGGCGATAGTTGTCAAGATCATTTGTTTCCCCAGTACATATGCAGATTTCCATGCTTTTGGAACACTTCCTGATAACAATGTTAAATAAAAAATGTGGTCTACTGAGCCAGCAACAAAGGGAGCTGCACACTTAAGCAGACCAGGCTCCAATTGATCAGCCCCTGTGGATTTTTTGGGTTGTCTCATGTTAGCAAAGCATCCAGGACTTCTTTATCAGTCAATTTCCAAAAAGAAAACTCCTGACCAGCATTTTCAGTATCATTCAATAGATTTTCACCATCAACATCCAAACTACTCTTTTCAAGAGCTGGATTTGAAATACATTCAAATATATAGCCCGCAGTTGATAAAATGGTGATTAAATGCATTAATGATATCAATTTAGTCAGTAATAGGGCCAGAATCTAAATTAATTTATTGGGGAAGAGAAGAAGAAAACACAACCCTTCAGTGACGTAACAGCTTTCCAATATTTAGCTGGGTTCCCTGTACATTCAGATAGTGAATTAACATAATAATAATAATATGCCATTTAGCAGACGCTTTTATCCAAAGCGACTTACAGTTATGCATGCATACATTTTGTGTATGGGTGGTCCCGGGGATCGAACCCACTACCTTGGCGTTACAAGCGCCGTGCTCTACCAGCTGAGCTACAGAGGACCACCCCATACACATAATCTGATTTTGCTTTTTTAACTACCGTAGTTTTACACACAGATTTCTCAATCGCCTGAAAGACTGCCAGTCTGGGCCCGAGTCTGTGACTCTAGCTTTGGCCCAGGCAGCATCTCTGTTGTGTATGACTTCAGATAGCTCTGGACTGAACCAAGGGCAATACCTATTTTTAATTCTCCGTTTTTTAAAGGGAGCATGTTTATCTATATGTTTATCTATCTATTGAAAACATTTGAGAAGTGGTACAGAGCCAACTGTGGGTCAGGTATAGATGCAATACAATCAAAGTCACCAAAATAAAGGTCACAAAAAAAGGCCTGTTCATTGAAATGTTTAAAATTCCTTTTGTTGATAAAACGAGGTTTTGATCTAGGCATCCGTATATCCCTGACACATACAATATGACAGTGGTCACTAATATCCTAAGCAAATACCCCACTCCCAACATATTTCTCTGGAGAATTTGTAAATATGAGGTCAATCAATGTCAATTTCGTATGGTCCTTTAAGTTTGGACGATTAGCCTTTGTAATCAGCTGGGTCAAATTTAGATTAGTACAAAAATCCTTTAAACAGTCAGCATCCTGCGTTCCCCATGCAAGATTAAAATCTCCAGCGATCAACACCTTTGTGGTAGTAAAAATATCAATTAAATCAGTGAGTTCGTTTAGTACACACTTCTTGGCGGAGGGTGGACAGTAGATTCCAATAACTGTTACCATTAAAGTGTCTTTGAGTCCACTTTCAGGGAATATGTGGCAGAATATTCTTAAAGCATAGGCTACATAGTGGAACATGGAATGGATGTCTGTACAACTCATGTAATGGCAGGGAAAGTTTCTCGCCTCTTGCTGAGCTCACTTACTCATATTTGACAGCACAATATGAACGCTAGCGGAATGAGAAACGTGAGTCATTCTTAATGTATAAACACACAATGATGTTGGGTGGAGTTAAGATTTGAGAGTATGAAAAGCCGATGCTTTCTTTTGAACTAAGAGATTTCTCTTTGAGATATGATTTGCTAGGATTTACTTTCATCATCTTTCGCCCAGCTTTCGTGATGTGATTTGAGGGCATTATCATCAATCTAATTGAGTGTGCCATGTCGTTGATGTGTTGGGTTTTCAACACGATTTAATCGTCCCAAATGGCACCCTATTCCCTTTATAGTGCACTACCCATAAGGGAATAGGTTGTCATTTGGGACAGAACCTCTCTTAACAGAAGGCAGACACATATGTTTTTCCTACTGGCTGTCTTTTTCTTTCCTTGCGTGTTGTTCTATATCTCCTTCCACTTGAAGTATAGCCTACAGCCCAAGGCAGGCAGTGTTTCCCATACGCCTAAATCCTCCTTGGTTGTGATTAAGACTTGGTTCTGGCTAGAAAAATAGTTTTTATTAATTTGGAGGGCCTAAAAAAAAGGCCCAAAGCTTTCAAGTTGGTTTGCCTGGTACCCGTTGCATGAAAATGGTTTAGGAACCAGTATCCTAAGAGAACTGGAGAAAGTCAGAACCCTAACCATTCTCATCCATCTCAATTCACACTGAATAGCCGCCCCCACCTCCTCCCCTCCTCCTCCCCCTCCCCTCCTCCCCCAGCCATCATGATTGTGACCTCCTTTGAAAGTTCATGCACTGCATTTATGAAGTGAGCCCAGGTGTTTTTTCATCCAGAGCAAAGATCAGCTTTCACATGGATCAGGTGTCCATTGTGATGGTTAGCAATTTGCTCTGGCACTCTGCAGAGTGTTGCAGCTGTAAGCAGTACAAGAAGGGAAGGGGCCTCCGCTCCAATCTGTTCTCTACCTTGGACTATGTCCAAAATGCACCTTATTCCCTTCATAGTGCACTACTTTTGACCTGGGGCCTGGTCAAAAGTAGTGCACTATATAGGGAATATGGTGCCATTTGGGGTGCTGCCTTGGGCTGTTAAACTGGCAGCTCTAAGAAGAAACCATCACGCGCCAAATGTAATCTAATCTTGGAGGGAGTTCATCATGTTAAATGGTGCTTTTCTTTTTCTCTTATACTACTCAGGTGTTTCTCCACCGGCTCAACCAGTATGCAGCCACGAAGATTGACAAGAACATCACAGAGGAAACCGTTAAGGTGAGTCTTTATTAGTGTAGTCTAGTAATTACATCATAATTACTTAATCTAGTAGTTACTTAATGACTGTGTAATCAAGATCTGTGTAAACATGTGAGTGGAATGTCAGAAGAATGAGTCCTTTTAGCTGCGTGGTTGAGTATAAACCTTGTTTTCATAACGTAATCCAATAAAAGACCGGAAATTACAGCCGGAATCCAAATAAAACTCAACGTTTCTTGTTTGAAGGACTCTTTCAACCCAAAATGGACGTTTCTTCTGAATGAATAAAAAAATAGCTGCTAAGGCCTAGGCATATACAGGAAGCAGCTGTAAATATAATCTATTTATATAAATGATTCTGGCTGCGTGAGGGAGTGGGACAATAAAGGATGCTTCGTCGCTGTTGGGAGGGTCCTTGGCTGTCTGGTTGTGTCCCAAATGGCATCCTATTCCCTAGGTAGTGCACTACTTTTGGCCAGAACCTATATGGGTGCAGGAATCTGGTCAGAAGTATTGCACTTAGGGTTGCAAAGCTACTGGTAGTTTACCAAAGTTACAGGAATTTTCAGTAATTTTGTTAATTAACAGATAACCTATGGCAATCTATCCTAACTTTGGTAATTTATTCTTGAATACATTTTTTAAAATGTACAGTGAGGGAAAAAAGTATTTGATCCTCTGCTGATTTTGTACGTTTGCCCACTGACAAAGACATGGTCAGTCTATAATTTTAATGGTAGGTTTATTTGAACAGTGAGAGACAGAATAACAACAAACACATCCAGAAAAACGCATGTCAAAAATGTTATAAATTGATTTGCATTTTAATGAGGGAAATAAGTATTTGATCCCTCTGCAAAACATGACTTAGTACTTGGTGGCAAAACCCTTGTTGGCAATCACAGAGGTCAGACGTTTCTTGTAGTTGGCCACCAGGCTTGCACATATCTCAGGAGGGATTTTGTTCCACACCTCTTTGCAGATCTTCTCCAAGTCATTAAGGTTTCGAGGCTGACGTTTGGCAACTCAAACTTTCAGCTCCCTCCACAGATTTTCTATGGGATTGAGGTCTGGAGACTGGCTAGGCCACTCCAGGACCTTAATGTGCTTCTTCTTGAGCCACTCCTTTGTTGCCTTGGCCGTGTGTTTTGGGTCATTGTCATGCTGGAATACCCATTCACGACCCATTTTCAATGCCCTGGCTGAGGGAAGGAGGTTCTCACCCAAGATTTGACGGTACATGGCCCCGTCCATCGTCCCTTTGATGCGGTGAAGTTGTCCTGTCCCCTTAGCAGAAAACCCCCCCCAAAGCATAATGTTTCCACCTCCATGTTTGACGGTGGGTTGGTGTTCTTGGGGTCATAGGCAGCATTCCTCCTCCTCCAAACACGGCGAGTTGAGTTGATGCCAAAGAGCTCAATTTTGGTCTCATCTGACCACAACACTTTCACCCAGTTCTCCTCTGAATCATTCAGATGTTCATTGGCAAACTTCAGACGGCCCTGTATATGTGCTTTCTTGAGCAGGGGGACCTTGCGGGCGCTGCAGGATTTCAGTCCTTCACGGCGTAGTGTGTTACCAATTGTTTTCTTGGTGACTATGGTCCCAGCTGCCTTGAGATCATTGACAAGATCCTCCCGTGTAGTTCTGGGCTGATTCCTCACCGTTCTCATGATCATTGCAACTCCACAAGGTGAGATCTTGCATGGAGCCCCAGGCCGAGGGAGATTGACAGTTATTTTGTGTTTCTTCCATTTGTGAATAATCGCACCAACTGTTGTCACCTTCTCACCAAGCTGCTTGGCGATGGTCTTGTAGCCCATTCCAGCCTTGTGTAGGTCTACAATCTTGTCCCTGACATCCTTGGAGAGTTCTTTGGTCTTGGCCATGGTGGAGAGTTTGGAATCTGATTGAAGAGTGTGTCCCTTTAAGAGTGTGCTCCTAATCTCAGCTCGTTACCTGTATAAAAGACACCTGGGAGCCAGAAATCTTTCTGATTGAGAGGGGGTCAAATACTTATTTCCCTCATTAAAATGCAAATCAATTTATAACATTTTGACATGCGTTTTTTTCTGGATTTTTTGTTGTTATTCTGTCTCTCACTGTTCAAATAAACCTACCATTAAATTATAGACAGATCATTTCTTTGTCAGTGGGAAAACGTACAAAATCAGCAGGGGATCAAATACTTTTTTCCCTCACTGTATTAATATATAGTATTCATTTTTTATATCTGTCTCCTTATTGTCCATGAGTTTCTACTAGATAGACCATATGGTTCAAGAGAAAATAGCCTAATTAATGAAAAAATAACCTAATCAACAATGCCATTATTTTCAATTAACTCTGCAACTCGTCCAGCTATTTTTTTCACAACTGCCACCAGTTTCACACCAAAACATTGTCAACAAATACATACTGACATAGTCAAATGAATAGGTGTGTAAAAAAATATAAAGGATATTTCATGCTGAAACCCTCATATTAAGCACCAATGATATTCACTACGTTGATGGTTTATATTTAGGATAATGTTTTACAGCTTTGTCATTCAAATTTTTTTAATTATTGAATTATTTCATATATTTTAGATATGATAAGGCCACACAGAGGGCCAGAGATAAATACAGACACCAGTGATAATATGAAGTACCCAAAAGGGCCACTAGATGTCTTGTGATAGATTACATAAAATCCTTGAAAGATACCAACATTCTGGTAGTTTACTGAAGTTAGAACGTTTACCCTCCCTTTGCAACCCTAAGTGCACTATATAGGGAATATGATGCCATTTAGGGGCAGACTCCACTCTGTGGGCTTTGCTTATTCTGGAAGTTAAACATGCATTGGCGGAGGAGCGGTCTACGTGTTCCTGTGTCCTGTGTTTTGGAACACGTTGTGAGAACACTGGGTGGAGGGGAGGAGTCTGGCGGAACGGGGGAACAAGGTCAGACGGAGGTCAGGGTTCTAGAATGTCTTGGTTGTTGCTAACAAACAGCTGTCCCGCTCCAATCCACCACAGAACCTTACTGTACTGGAACACTTCAGAGTGCAGAAGATACAGAACAGATACAGATATGATTCCATATACTGCTTGATGTAAGAATCATGTCAGTTACACATTTTCAATTTAGGTCTCTTGGGCGTTGTATATTGTCGCACCCACGGAGTGCATAGTCCTCTGCTCTCTCAAGTTATGGCAGTCCACCACAGGCACTATAGGCCCCCCTCGCCATCCACAATCAGACCATTATTTTGTGCTTAAGCATTGCCACATAACAATAAAATCAATTTAAAAAACTATCCCACATAAAGGCTAAATTCAGCGTTCCATATGACAGAGCATATAAAATGTCTCTCCATTAAAAATGTCTCTCTTTACAGTGTTTTCACAAATGCTAATTTCCTCTCAACTCTAGAATTATAAGATGAAGTCAAGTCTGGAACTATAATGCCTCTTTCAAATAAACCTCATCCGTTGTTCTGTGACTTCTGTCTCCCTCCGATCCCCAGACAAATGCGCTCTCTCTCTCTCTGTCTCGCTCTCTCATCTATAGTGCCCCAAAATATTAAAACATTTGATTTTCCCGTATTGTCTTGACTAGTGAACTCAAAATAATGGGTATTTATGGTCAAAACGTCACCACATTGTTCTCTTCTCTACCATGTTCCTCAGCAGATAGCTGATCATGATGGCAGGATACTGATCAAAGGATACTGTATGTGTTGAACTATTGGGACACACTCCTTGTCCTTACTTGGCTAGTTTTTCTTGTCCTAATGTTTCCATGTTTACTTGGTTAGGTTTTGTCAAATGTTTTGTTATGTGTACCCCCTCCAGATGTTAGTGTATTCTGTCCTCTGGTGTTACAGTGTATTCTGTCCCCCTCTAGGTGCTGTTCTCCAACCTGGAGGAAATCCTGTCTGTGCATCGTGACTTCCTGTCCATGGTAGAAGAGCTGCTGCAGCCAGACCCCCACGCTTACCACGAAGTGGGCCGCTGCTTCCTGCACTTTGTGAGTCTCACAGGTCTCCGTATTTCTCTGTCAATCCATGCTAGAAATGATGACAGAATAGTGCTTTCTAACCACAAATGTATTTTTTTTATCACTAGCCCCAGTACCCACAAAGCCTTGCCTGTGCTTTGAGTTTCACAGGTTTCCGTAGCTCACTCACTGACTAGAGCAGTGATTTTCGAACGGTGGGTTGCATCTGATTCCATCTGGGATGCAGCTTAAGATGAGATCAGAAATATTGTTGATCACAATCTTTTTTATCTGGGTCACAATACAATTGAAAATGCTTTAGATGAGTCACAGCTCAAACAAGTTAGAGAGTTCCTTGGGTGCAGGCAGATATTCTAGCTGAGGCGAAGGAGTTTCAAACCCCATCTTAACGAGGCCCATTCTCTCAGAGTAGGCTAATCTCTCTGTGTGCGTCCCAAATGGCACCCTATTGCTTCTATAGTGCACTACTGGTGACCAGGGCCCATAGGGAATATTTGGGGCATACCTATTACCCATTGTTTCAGAGTAGGCTAATCTCTCTGTGTTAGTACAGGTCAGAGACGAAGATAAGATGAGATTCAACACATGTTTCAGATTTACTATCTCCTGTGCAGGCCGTATACTGCTCTGATATAGCCCCCTGTCATAGATCAGATTTATCCTAGCTCTTTGATGCTGAGCTGAGCTGGGATATGGACCACTATATCATCTTATGTTTCTGTAGGCCGTACATCTAGAGTAGGCTACTTACAGTTGATCCTCTCCTCAGTGGATTTCTATATTCTACTAAGGACCTGTAACAGGTCTTGTTCAAAGCTAGTTCTCATCAAAGTGACACCAAGACAGTGATGGGTTTTAACAGGTGACATTTTAGTCATATAGAATGACTTACAGGAGCAATTAGGGTTAATTGCCTTGCTCAATGGCAAATCGACAGATTTTTTTCACATTGTTGGCTCGGGGATTCGAACCAGCGACCTTTCGGTTACTGGCCCAACGCTCCAGCCGCTAGGCTACCTGCCGCCCCTATGACCTTGAATTAACTTGTGTACTTTCCAAATGGCACCTTATTCCCTATATAGTGCACCACTTTTGACCAGAGCTCTCTGGGTCTACTCTCTACATAGGGAATAGGGTGCCATTTCAGACGCAGCCCATGTGGTATCAATGGTATAAGCGATGGTCCTTATAGATCACACTTTTAGCTGTTTTGTGAAGGTCCACAGTCATTTAGAGCCTAACCTGCATGACTCTGTGATTCTCACATTACCATGGCTGATGATCTCATGTCAGACTACCCAGTAGGGAGGCTACTGTGGTCTGTTCTCTCTCTGGAGCTCTGGAGCTATAATGCCTATTTCAAAGAAACCTCATCCATTGTTCGGTGACTTCTCTCTCTCTCTTCGAGCCCCAGACAAATTCTCTCTCTCTCTCTCTCTCTCTCTCTCTCTCTCTCTCTCGCTCTCTCTCTCTCTCTCTCTCTCTCTCTCTCTCTCTCTCTCTCTCTCAGTCACTTTCCTCTCCTCCTCAGTGATTGAGGTCTCTTGCTGTAGGACAGAGTTCCTAGAAAGAGAGGAATTGTGACATCTCTCTCTAATTCAGCTGAGGGGAAAACCTGATGGGATCTGAGTGGGAGTGGGTTATCATAGTAGAATCTCAGCTCTAATCGTTCCAATATGGAATAAGTTATGTTTAGAATATGGGAAAAGCTGTCTTTGATTTCAACATGCTCTTAACATACTGCTTGTCAAAGCTGGTTCTATCCTCACTATTGGTTGAATCCTTACTTGAGGTCTGTACTAGAGGTCTTCACGAGTCCAAAAAGTCGGACCCATTCCGAAATGGACCTGTGGCTTTCCCACCCGGACCCAATATGCGTGAATATTTTTTTTTATATAGAGACCCGTTCCGAATGGACCCAAAGGCAACTAGACCCATTCCGTATAGACCTGGTCGGATCTAGAACCGATCAGATCCGGGTGAGGGAAGCAGCAGGAAAGTAATTTAGCAGGAAGCTACTGTATTAACCGGATCAGATAAAGTGCGAGAGGAGGGAGAGAGGTGCTGCTCTAGCAGGCGGGGGGGGGGGCCGTTCTGTGATCGAATGACAGGGTGAGCAGGGAGGAGGGAGGGAGAGATGAGAGACAGCAACCAACCAAGCTGATTTGCGCTATAGTAGACTAGTAGCTGCCGTAGCTAGGTTATTTATCATCAAATATGATTACGTAATACCTGTCTTGACTGCATCAAACCAGGAGAAGCTAGTTAAGCTAGCTAACGTTGAGTACCCCTGCCATAGGGAATCTATTTATGCGCATTGATCTGAAGTTAGGATGTGGCCCTCCATGCATTTTGGTTTAGTATGAGAACCCATAGAGGTTTGATCTGAGTGGCTGCAGACTGTACTGCTCAGTAGTAGGGATGATTTATGGGCCATGTCTCTGTGCAGTATCCCTCAGTGAGAAAGACTGGGGTGTGAAGAGCATGGGAACTCATGGGAAGAGGGGTTTGTCACACCGCATACATGTGGCTTCAACACAGATGACAGGATATTGCGATATGTCCTCTCTCTCTCTCACTCCCTTTCTCCCTCTCTCTCTCTCTCTCTCTCTCTCTCTCCTCTCTCTCTCTCTCTCTCTCTCTGTGTAGACAGAGAACAAAATAAGTTGTGGCTTATGTAAAAAAAACAGTAAAACTGAAAGCCTTTGTCTTGCTTTTCCATTTTCTCTCATCTATACTGTGTCTTTCGTATTTTCTCTCTCTCTCTTTCTCTCTTTCTCTCTCTCTCTCTCTCTCTCTCTCTCTCTCTCTCTCTCTCTCTCTCTCTCTCTCTCTCTCTCTCTCATCTTCTCTCTCCAGAGGAGTGGTTTTCAGATCTATGATGAGTACTGTGGGAATCATGAGAAGGCTCAGAGATTGCTGCTGGAACTCAACAAGATCAGGACTGTCAGAACATGCCTACTGGTGAGGAACTGCGTGTGTGTGTGTGTGTGTGTGGGTCAGCAAACATGCGTGTGTGTGTTATATCTTTCCGGCCTCTGTTTTCCCTCAATGTGTGCTGTTTAAGGATGTTCTCCATGCTATACACATATCCCTCCGGGCTTTATGGGTAATGTAATGCTACTCCTTCTCACCCCTCCTCTCTTTCACAACCGTATCACTCCATCCATTCACTCCTGTTTTAAGAGCTCTATAAAAAGAGAGAGCCTTGAAACCCTGGGACCTACAGCAGTGTCCGCCTTCAGGAAGATACTCTATCAAAAAATAATAATAATACATTAGTTTCAACCACATACATCTGCAGAGTAATGTTGTGGTATTGTAGAAGGCTATTTCTGATCATTGATCGTGAGAGAAGAAATGAGAAGTACACACATCTCGGCTGTAAGTGGAAGGGGAGCTCTATATGATTGAGTGTTGTCTTTGAACCCGGCTCCCAGCAGGGAGAGGGTGGTTGTGTGTGTGTGTGTGTGTGTGTGTGTGTCTCAGCGGGGTTAGAGTGGTCTTAATTGAATGCGATTTAATGGAGGTTTTATGGTCTTGGCCTTGGCGGGACCTTCCTGGCTGCTTGCATCAACCCTGTGAGGGTCATGTTACCCTCCAACCTCCATCCAACCTCCATCCAACCCACTGGGCTCATAGTACTTGGGTTACCCCCGTAACCTTCACTCCACTCTGGGCTTAAAAGACTTGGCTTGCCCCCCTAACCTCCAGACCTCCAGTCAACCCTGGCCCTACTGGATGGCCCACTGACTGAAAGCCTGTCCAGTGTTTTATATGGTGAGAAGGATATAATTTAACACTATTTTACAACCAATAACGAAAGAGAATGAGGTTACCCCCTAAACTCCCCTCAACCCATGGAGGTTACCCCCTAACCTCCCCTCAACCCCTGGAGGTTACCCCTTACCTCCCCTCAACCCCTGGAGGTTAACCCATAACCTCCCCTCAACCCCTGGCCTATGGCCACTTTAATCATTTAAAACAAGGCAAACAGAGGGGTGGTGAAAACAGTTGACTGATACCAATGTCCAAATCATAATTGCGCCGGAGGAGATGGGTGCCGTTTTACGTGCTCCTAACCAATTGTGCTATTGTGTGTGTATTTTTTCGCGTCATTTGTAACTTATTTTGTACATAATGTTTCTGCCACCATCTCTTATGACTGAGAAGAGCTTCTGGATATCAGGACAGTGATTACTCACCTCGTACTGGACAAAGATTTTATCTTTAACGAGTCGGACGCAAAGGATTTACTTCAGACACCCGACAAGGCCCAAATCCCCGTCATTCGCAGGAGAAAGAGACGGAGATATCAGGGACGTAGGCCTTGTAAGGATCCGATGGCGAGTGGGTAATCTGCCTCTACCATCAGTCCAATTAGCCAATGTACAATCATTGGATAACAAAATAGACAAGCTACGATCACGACTATCCTACCAATGGGACATTAAAAACTGTAATATCTTATATTTCACCGAATCGTTTACGCTGCATCGGCAAGATAGAACAGCCACCTCCGGTAAGACAAGGGGTGGCGGTCTGTGTATATTTGTAAACAACAGCTGGTGCACGAAATCTAATATTAAGGAAGTCTCGAGATTTTGCTTGCCTGAGGTAGAGTATCTCATGATAAGCTGTAGACCACACTATTTACCAAGAGAGTTTTCATCTATATTTTTCGTAGCTGTCTATTTACCACCACAAACCGATGCTGGCACTAAGACCGCACTCAATGAGCTGTATAAGGCCATAAGCAAACAGGAAAACGTTCATCCAGAGGCGGCGCTCCTAGTGGCCGGTGACTTTAATGCAGGAAACTTAAATCTGTTTTACCTATTTTCTACCAGCATGTTAAATGTGCAACCAGAGGGGAAAAAAACTCTAGACCACCTTTACTCCACACACAGAGACGCGTACAAAGCTCTCCCTCGCCCTCCATTTTGCAAATCTGACCATAATTCTATCCTCCTGATTCCTGCTTACAAGCAAAAACTAAAGCAGGAAGCACAAGTGACTCG